GATGCTTTGTGTTTCTGTTCTTCTTTGTTGTCGGTTTAACCTCAGCAGCACTTTAACGCTGGTAAATTGCTGTTATATCCTTTTGGATTCTTTTTTTTTTTAACTGTGCAATAAGAGGACCCTGGAATTGATATTAGAAGGAAAAAACAATCTTAGAGTAGTTTTTGAGGTATTTAATATTTATTAAGGTCCATACCCTGCAGAGTTCCAGGTGATTTTAAGCCATCTATCTAGGAATGTATAAATTGGTCTTGGTATGAAATTTCACCTGGGGAATTTTATGTTATCCAGTAGTTAAGTCTGATTTTTAAAGTTTCCTGTGTCTGAATGTTCCGAAGTGGCGGCTGCTTTTCCACAAGACGAGGGTTTAACAGCAGTGCACCATCTAAATGCAAAATCCTGAGATGGAAATTTAATTGTGTACAATGTGCACAAGGTAATTAAGAACAAAGTTTAGAACATTTCAGACTATAAAGTCCTCCTTCAGCTGGATCATTGCGATACTGTAAGTGCTTATTTTCAATTTGCAGTTATGCTGAGAAACATGGAATGTGTCTAAATTAAGGCTAAAACCATCCCATGCTTTTCAGTGTAACTGTAAATTAAAAAACAACTTGTACAACATCGACAATAAGTGGGAGGTTTTATTGCCTGAGTGTCCTAAAAATATGCTTTGAACTTCTTTCCCTCTGTCAGTTTCTGCACAGGATAGGGACCAAGTCACTGTTGTAATTCTTACATGGTCAAGCAAGTCAAGAGGGATGTAGAGAGAGCAGTTTGTCAGTGAGGATTCCTGGATTTCCATTTTAAGTCCTAAACTGTTCATTACATTATTTGACCAAGTCATCTTAATTTTGTGCTCACATTAGATGTATGTAGTTGAGGTTAAAAGTTGCTTTCCAGCCCTTCTTACAGCTGCCCCATACAAGGGGTTTAGGCACCTGCCTCAACCAAAACCGGCTGCTTCGTGTTTCCTCTCCCCGGTGTGGTTTTAGGTATAGTTTGATAAAAATTCACCATAAAATGAGTGGTTGAAGTGCTCTGATGGGCTGCTTCTGTGTCTAAGAAAGTAATAGTTAAAATTACATGCACTACCACCCTCCCTACAAAACCCTATGCAGGCAGGTAGTTGCTCTGAGATGTAATGGTGTAGGAAAGTGTTATTCTGGCATATTTCTTGCTGATATGGTCTGATTCTCATTTATATTTCCATACCATGCTGGCATTGCAGTTGACTGGGCCTTGTTTAAATGATGGTTTTTGCTGTTCTTATGTATTGGGAAGGTATCCATAAGGAAATGAGAACCAGCTCCTTGAAGTTTAAGTTCCCTATTCTGCTCCTTAATATCTAGAGCTACATAAAATACCATTCAGTGCCCAAACTGAAATAGTGTGAACGGAAATACTGTTTTTTTTTTTGTTATAATGCCTTAAAATTGCAAGTTCCTGAGTGTCATCACATATAAATGCAGAGGAGATAAGTGTTTGATAGTGCATTAGTTTGGTAGTTTACAATTGTCTGTGTCCTGCGTTGGGCTTGTGCTGCTCATGTTTAGATGATTTCCTTGAGACAGATGATAAAAGTATGAAAATCCCTTTAGTGAAGCTCTAATCTGTTTGTTTTGGGGTGGTTTTTTTCTTTACTTTAAGTGTGACACTATTTATAAATCTAAATCTACACACAGAGGTCATTGGTTGGCTGAACTTAAACCATTTTACTTAGTAAATTTAATTAAGAAAATACAGTGCAACTCATAAGCAAATGAGTTTCTCCTAGTTTTAAACCAAACCACCCTCTTGAGTGCTGATTGCCTTGCTCGACCCCTGGTGATACAGAAACAGGCAAAATTAAAAAGGACATTAAAGCTTCATTAAATCTGAAACACATTTAGTACAGTGACATATCTGCAGGCTATTTCAGGGAAGATTACATACTCTTTGCTAAGTTTCTTAATTTATAATACCTTGACAATCTTGCAGGGAGGAAACAACTCTGACAAGCTGAAGCGAGTGGTGGTTCAGGGGATGCGGAACTGGCACATGAGCTGTCCGGGGCTGTGTCACTTTGCCGCTCTCAGTCGAGGAGCAGCTTCACTGAGAAACGTGTTTCTTTTTACAACTTGCTCCCGACGCGTGTTGGATTCTTCTGAGCTCATTTGTGCACCCCGCGCTTACGTCTGGCACAAAACTGCTCTTTCCCCAATTACTCTGCTGCCTTTGGAGCCCCTGCTGAGGTGTGTGGTGGTCGAGGGGAAGAATCATCAGTGAGAATGAGAGCGCTTAGTTTGAAGTCATCAGTGAGGCTGTGGTCGTTTTTCTGCTTAAATAAGATGTGCAGAACGATGCCCTGTGTGTGTAGCCATAGTTATCTTCTTGTTCTACAGTGGGATAACTTACATTCCTGCAAGTCTGTAGCTATTGTAATGACTATTCCTATGTCAGTTGTCATTGGGAAAATCAGGATTTTTTCTGTTTCTGTTCAGAGAAAAGTGTTTGGCATTTATAGGTTTATTTCTAGGCACTTTAGGCTATTACAGCAGCAGTGCTTCTTAGGATCTCAAGCAGCTTTTTGCAAGTTATAGATGCTCCTTCCAAAAGAAGATAAATAAAAGGGTATGTTTTAGTAGGTGCTGGTCCTTAAGACTGAACATAACAGAAAACATAGGATCTTGGCTTAATTATTTAGCAGTGTATTTCAAAGCCTGCCATCAGAGAGCAACTGGAGTAACACTGAGCTGGGAGAAACTGTGAACCAGATAAGAGCGATAGAAAGGATGGTGGTCAAACTGCTTAACTCAGGTTGATTTGTTGTGAGGATGAATTTGCTGTGAAGAGAAGCACTGCGCTCAGCACTGTACCAGAACCAAAACCAGAAGGCAGAATTCACCCCAAAGAGTTGAGTCTTAAAAGGCTAACCTGAAAGACAAAGCACTGAAGAAACCCAGAGGAGGAAGGAATACCACTATGGAGAACCTGAAGAGATCTTGTCTTCTCACCTCAATGTTGTTCCCTGTTCCAGTGTCTCTTGTAAGCCACATTTCTTGTACATTCTCTGGGTGTTGGTCTTATAAACCAAGTAACACACAATCCCCACGTGGAAGCCTGGTAGCAGATCCCAGCTTTCAGAGATGAGTGGCAGAACAGAAACATCTTGGAAAGAAACATATTGTTGTGAATGCTCCATCCCTGGTGGTGTTCAAGGCCGGGTTGGACAGAGCCTTGGGTGAGATGGTTTAGTGTGAGGTGTCCCTGCCCATGGCAGGGGGGTTGAACTGGATGATCTTAAGATCCTTTCCAACCCTAACTATTCTATGATTCTATATATGTTATTGCTAGTAGGGATCTTGGTCAGCACTTCTCAGTAGTGTGGAAGCTTCTGAGAGTAGTCACCAAAAATAGTTTCATCTTTCTGTGTTTCTCTTGTATGCATCTCTTACGCAAATGCTTTAAGACTTACCCTGCTTTTGTAATGTCTTTTTGGATCTGGAAGAAGTTTAGTGTATTTGCAAAGGCTCACAGCCAAGCAGCTGGTATGGTACAAGGTTTGGACAGCAGCTGGAGGGGCAGGAAGGGCATCATCTCTGCCGGTATCTGATTGCTTCCACGCATGCTCTCAGCTTCTTCTTACTACCTTCTCATGACCTTTTTACTGAACTGGTGAGTATGTCTACTGGTCTTTGCCCCATCCATTCATTCCCCACCTTCCTACAGTTCTGTCTATGCCTCATTGTTCATACTTAGGGTAGGTTTGTGCTGCCAGCCAGGCTGAAATTTCATCATAGGTTAGCACAGCTGCCTTACCTGCAATCTGACCAGGTCAGGTAACCTCAGCACGGAGGAGCTCAAATGTCATTGACAATAGAAGTGCTGGGAACCAGCTTTCACCCAGCAGTGATGTGTGGTTTACCCTGTGCAGTGCATGACGCGATGGCTTGGACCTTCAGCATCGATGCTGTTCCTCAGTCCCATGTGAACATACTTAGTTCATCATGCAGACGAATCAATGGTAGCAGTGCATCCATAACATTTTTGGTAGGCTTCCTTCTGAAGGCAATGTGGGGAGGATTCACCAAGGTTAACCAGGGTGTAGAGAAGCTCGTCTGACTATGGCTCCTCTGCAAACCATGGAGAGAGGTGGACTTATGCCAAAAGCAGGTCAGAACAGAGCTACTCTGAATGCCCTTTTGGAGGAGTTTGTGTCAGCGTTGAAAGCCCTTGTCCTTCACTCAGTAGTAGACAAAAAACTAGCTGTATTTTGCTGAAATTGTTTCCAAGCCTCAGATACCAAATGGGAAAACTTGAAGTTCTATGAAGAATTTGTTACGGAATATGTATTAGCTGTGGCATTATGGCAACTGTGCTATTGTGGTTGGGTTAATACTGACACTAGCAGGTGTTCTAGTAATGCATTGATTGCCTTACAAAACAATGTGGGCAACAAATCCAGTTGATATTGTGTGCAGCTGAAAGAAGATCTGAAGAAAAGTGGAAGTGACTTTTTGCAGGTGCTGTGATCTCTCTCCAGGTCCCCCTCCCAGGTTCCTACCTGGGTTTGACACCAATAAGGAGGCAAACCTCAGCTGTATAACCCAGATTTTACTCTGAGCCAGTTAAGGAAGGACTTTGGGAGTTCAGTGCATGCTCTACAATACCTGTTCATTGCAGATAATTATCAGGAAAGGTCAGTGTCGTTGGCCTCACTATTGAGGCTGAACTGGTTTAATTTAGAGAGTCCTCAGGAACTTGGGCATCAAACGGTGTTACTGAGTGGTATAGACAGAAGAGCTCAAGAAATACAGAAATACTTAGAAACATAGAACAAGGGGTGGTGGTTGTGAATGACTCCATTCTAAATACAGCTCTTTGTGTGTTTTCAGCATTACTTTTGTTGACATTTTCCAATTTATACAATAGTAAGAGTTGAGTACTTTTCTCTCTTTAAGAAAATGTGCCCTCCATGCAAATCTATATAACTAGACAAATATTATTTCCTTTCCCAGCTTGCTCTTGGGAGGTTTCCATATCCTCAGGTAAGATTGTTCATTACTGCTGTTTGCCACTGTGACATTCATTCCTATGTATGAAGGTGCAGAGAGCAATTGTGAACATTTGAGCCACATACAAATAAATCTGTCCTGTTAAATTGAAAAGTGGTATCTTGAAGGAGTCATTTAGAAGTCTCTATTGATTTTTTTTCTCTCTCTCTCTTTTTTCCCCTCTCCAAAATCTAGATTTTCTTTCCCTGGAGACAATGAAAATTATGGTGATGTTAATGATTGTTTTGGTGCGAGATGAAAAAATAATCCAGTGCTTTTGAAGCAGGGAGGTGTATCTGCTCCTTCTTACAGTTTAATTTTGAATAATATGGTTTAAAATCTGCTCAAATCAAAAATATAATGTGAATGGAATACTTAAGGGAGCTTTGGGTTCGCCATTTTAAGAGGAGCTAATACTAGTATTTTGTTTAGATACTGGCATTTCTAACTTTCCTCTGACCTAACTCAATTGCATTGAAGTTGATGGTTAAACTGCTTCCACCATCAGTGGCAACGGTGAGGCCAGTGCTGAGCCCTGCGTTACCATGTAGTATTTTACATTGTCTTTATGCCTGAAAAAACATGAAGCTCTAACAGAACAACCAATCCAGAAATAGGTTTGGTGATTCTGTTCCTATTGCAAGATGGATGTTAGAATTCATAGTAACAAACTATTCCGTAGTTCCTCAAATTATTCTTTCCTGGGAGAGGGGGGAAAAAGTGAAGTGTCCAGGGACTAAAATGAATTATTTGAATGTGGTTTTTATGTTTTTGTGTGTTTTATGAAGGCAGTTTTGGTCTGTACAGATCAGAGTGCCTGGAGGCACGTCTGATTTAAAGGTGGTGTTGGTCTGTGCTCTTTAAGCATCTATTAACTTGCTATTATTATGCAAATAACTGTTGTAATACACATACTAATTTATGCATGGTTAGATTATGCAGATGCCTCACAAACATGGTTATTGAATAATAGGCTGGGACTCATTCTCTCTCCCATTTTTATAAGCTGTTTTAAGCAAATTCTCCTGGCACTTTTATGGACTTGCAAAGGTTTTGCAGCTGTAGAAATACACGGATTTTTCACTTGCTCATCTCCTACAGAAAATGGTTACTGGCTGGGGCAGAACACACTTTGCATATTTTATCCATATTTTAAACTGCACCCTCTCCTTTGAAGAGAGGGCTGGAAGAGAAGCTCTTGTGTTGAAGTGTCCTCCATACATCGACGTACTCACTTGTGTGCGTTGAGTGTCTTGACAGTCGTGTGGCTGGTGTATTCTGACACTAAATCCAAGTGAGGGGGGGGTACGATTTGAGATAACCCCCTGTTCAGAGAAGTGCTGGAGCTTGGGGAAGGAAGTTAGAGCACATACATTATGTATGATTCTAGCCCAAAATTTGCTTCCTGAATTGGGAGCAAAGCATGATTGCTTGTTTAAGATCCATTTTGCTATTCTAATTAACAAAACGGATCCGGTTTGCAAAAGAATATCTGGCAAGTCAGTAGTCCATGAAATTGTGTATATTTTTTAATGTAAAACGGTTGAGGAGGTGAAACTTTAAAATGTAGCTATTAAGCTTTTCAAGGAACTGCTTTTCATAAGGATTTTCATGTGAAGAATATGTATTTTAGACATCTGCTTAGATTGCAGGTCACAAAACCCATAGAAACCTGCCCTGATTAGGGGGAAAACTAGTAGTGTGTTGCGTTTTTTAATGTCTGAATATCTATTTCTCTCCCTACATAAGGGCCTGATTCTGCAGTCACTCACCTGAGCAAATCCTCCGCACTTCAGTAGGCTCATTCAAATGAATGAAGCTAATCAGATGTGTGTCTGCAGAATTTGTCCCTAAATAACTTGAAGTTACTTCTCTCTGACAGTGGAAAGTCTTGGAACATGTTTGGGAACGCCTGAAATTTCCCATAAATGAGTGTTTGTCTCCAGCTGTAGCTGGAAAAAATAAGTTGGGGTTTTTTTTCCTCTCTGTTTTGAAGACACAGACAAATGGTATGTGTGTAAATTCAGTTTAAATGAGTACGGTTTAGAGGAGGAATCATTGCCGTGTGGAAAATCAGGACTCCTTCAATACACCAGTAAGACTAAAGAATGATTTTGTTTTTTTCCTGGCCTTTAATGGGATATTTTAGTGATAGAATTTGCCACTTCTCATTTTCCACATCTTTTGCAAGTGTTTATTTTGCTAACATGTATCACACTATCATGATTTAATTTTATGTTCACAAAGTGTTACCTTGAAAGCATTTAAGGTGCGAGCAACTACTCCTGTAAGTAAAGTTGCTTATGGGTATGTTGAGAGTTACTGTACATATTTCCTTGTCTTGATATGCAGCTAACTTCGTAATCAGTAGCTGACTGTGAAAGGTACAAGAACACAGGTAGTAATGATCAGAACAGACTTTTTCACTGTAAAAACTTTATGCAGGAATCCGTAGTCCTTAAAATGTAGTAAAATTCTACAACTGTTCTGGATGTTGGTGGTGTGTGGTTCGTTTTCCTGGCGTGGTATTGCAATGTGCTATTGCATCCTTACTGTGATATAAAATCCATTTTGGAAATGGTAGGGTGTGATGCTCGTAGGATTTTCTGTAGATCCAAATGTAAGCACCTAAGGGTATATTCTCCCCTCAGTGTGTTTGCGTAACTATTGAAACTAATAGGAATGGTGCATGCACTCACACAAAAAATACTATTTTGAGTAAAGTTCTTTCCTACAAAAGCATGTAAAAATGAAAGGAAACCCTTTTCCCCCAGCCCAGTTGCTAGTCCATGGTCTGTCCAGCTTCTTAGGTATCTGAAGAAAGCACATAGGGAAAATAAGTTTCAAAACCCTTTTAAAAAGTTTAATTGATGTGATTTTGATTTTACGTGTCTGAGCAGAAAGAACTGAGGGAAATAATGGATAAAATGAAAAAATACCAAACCCAAAGGCCATAGCACCTCCCAGTATATTTAATGACGTTTTAAGTTGGAAGCCCAAAGATGTGCAGTGGCTGAACCAACCGCGAGACATACAGTTAATCACGGAGATTCACATTCAGTCTATGGTATAAAAACACGATGGGGGCAATGACTTGTTTAATGATAATGCAATTTAGGAGAAATGAAAAGAATTGCTCACTAAATATTCTCGGCTTGTCGTCAAACTTTATACAAAGCAGGATGTTAAAAGGATATCGCATCCATTAGGGAAATATTCCAAAGAAACAGCAGTACTCTGCTGGTGAGGATTTAATCAGCTATAGGAGAGCGCGGGTTACGACGACTGTATTTAGGATACTTTTGCATTTAGAGAAATGCTTCCCTTCCTTCAGCTGCAATTCCACCTTGCTTAATAAATTACATAGAAATGACCTGAAGTTTAGAAAGAAAAATCCACCCAAAATTCCTCTTTCCCCATTCTGCCCCCTCCCATCCCACTGCTCCCCCCCCAAATCTGAGCAAATACTGCCCGTGGTATTGTAAAGCTTTGAATGTTTTCACACCCCATTAATTTATTACTTCTCTTTCCTCATCTTTAAATTTTTCCCTTTTACCCCCCCCCCCTTTTTTTTCCCCTTTTTTTTTTTTAAATCCAGGCTCCCCGCTGCTACAGCGATTTTCATCTTGTTGTTAATTTTCCCTGCTCCATATGGAGCTCCAGACATTTCACCTGGAGGCTGTACTAGATTTTGCTGTAGCGATCGCACTTCCGGAGGCCAAAACTGTCATTTAAGGTTCCTGGTGCATCTGTCTACGCCAGGCTTTTCACTGGCACCGGGAGAGTGTGAATAACAAATTGGATGCACCTGAGATTTCAGATGATTAGTGTGTTTTGTGAATCTGGGCGACTTGTAAGCAGATAGCTGTAGGGATGGGGAGGGCTAAAGAGCTACCCCGGGTGAATCCCCGCTCCCACCTTGCGTTTGGGATGTGCCGGGAAAAGCACGAGCATCCCGGCAGCCTGAACGCGGAGAGTAACAAATATTTCATCCTGCCTTGTCATTGATTAGAAAAGAGCCTTTAATTTCATTTCACCCCATGTTGTGATTAATTTGCATTCTTTGTCAGAAGTTAATGGAGTTTTTTATGGTTCACTCTGAAATCCTTGAAGACATCAGAGTTGATCTGATGTTTATACAACCGCCAGCGGAATTTTTTCATTTGATTGATGGGGAGCTTGATGTTATTCCAAACGGCTTTTTAAGCTGTTTTTAAGAATTATTTGAATAAAATGCAAGCAAGATATTGTTATAACGATCAAGATTATCTGTTAAAAATCTGTTTCAAATAAAGAACATGATAAGTAGAAAAAAAGATCAAAAGGACAGGAGAAATGGGGGATACGGAAGATGATATTTGCTAAAATAGATAATCCAAGGATACAAATTAGTTATTTCACAACGTAAGAGACCTTAATTTAAGGGTCTTTTTTTAATAGAGTTTATTTTGCGGCATGATAAATAATGGATATGAATTAGTAAAGGATTTAGTCACAGTTAGGTCTTCCCCCGCCCCCCCTTCATTTTTTTATTCTCCCAGCTTTTTCACCTTCATTTTAGCAGCGATGCGAGCTCGGAGCACTGGTGTCTTTAACTCGGAGAGACAAGACTGTCAGGCCTGTTAGTTCAACAAAATGATGACATATTGCTCATCTCAAGGAAGAGGCATTCTTAAATCCCACTGCAAAGAAAACATAAGTGGATAATAGGAAATTTTATAGCCCAAGAAAGCGTTCGCTATAGACTTGCCATTGGTTTGCTTGATAAGAAAAATATACAGGGAGGGGGGGGAAATCCTCAGTGAAGGAAAATCGCTTTTTGCTCCTCCTGTTAGGGAAAGGTTTGTACTTTTACCAAACCCCAGCATCGAAAAAGCATCGGAGAGACGATGCAGAATGTTCTGCGTACGCTGGGCCAGATCCTCAGCTGGAGCAGCTCAGTCCTGCTGCTCCGGGGAGCTCAGGGGACAATGCACACTTGCACCAGCTTTGGG